AATAAAGTTTAATGATCCCTCTTTCCTCACTTCCTTTTTATCTGGAGTGAACAACAAACCACCTTTTAACTTTTGGACACAAGGGATAAAATAATTACATTAAACCTAACCTTAAATGGCTGTTTTAGGGCTACTGATTACAGGGTAATATTTTCTTTTGGGGGTAGGGATTAAAAATGCACAAGTGATGGCCCAAAGAGCGAAGCTTTTGGGGGCAAAAACTCACTATTTGACAAAAATTGATGGGAAAACTAGAAAGCAGTTTGGTAGAAACTAGATATAGACCAACATCTCATACTGTCTACCAAGATAAAGTCAAAATGGGTACATGATTTCAGTATAAAGGATGATATTATAAGCAAATTAGGAGAGTATGTAGTATTTTACTTTAAAAGATTTTGCACAAGCAAAACTAATGCAGCCACTATTTTTGAAGGAAAATAGGAAAGGGGGGATTTTACAGCAAGTTTTTCTGATAAAGGCCTTAATAATATATAAGGATGTTGTTGTTCAGTCGTTTCAGTTGTATTCGACTTTTCATGACCCCCTTTGGGGTTTTCTTGGCAAAGATACTGGAATAGTTTATCAGTTTCTTTTCCAGCTTATTTTATAGATGAGAAAACTGAAACAAACAGGATTAAGTGACTTGCCCAGAGTCACACAACTAGCAAGTGTAAGATGAGTCTTCCTGACTCTAGGCCTGGCACTCTATCCATTGTTCCATCTAAGTTGCCCCATATAGAGCGAACTAAGTCATTTATTAAAAATAAGAGCTATTTCCCAGGTGCTAAATGGTCAAAGCATATAAAGGGCAGTTGGGTGACACAGTGAATAGAGTGCCTCACCTACAGTCAGGAAGACTACTCCTCCTGAGTTCAGATCTGCTCTCAGAAGCTTACTAGCTGTGTGACCCTGGGCAAGTCATTTAATCTTGTTTGCCTCAGTTTCTCATCTGTGAAATAAGCTGGAGAAGGAAGTGGCAGACCACTCCAGGCCTTGCCGAGAAAACTCTAAATGAGCTTGTGAAGAGTCTGGCATGACCGAAAAACGACTCAAAGCATATGAATAGACAGTTTTCTTAAGAAGAAATCAAAGCTATCTATAGTCACATAAAAAAAATTCTAATTCACTATTAATTAGAGAAATGCAAATTAAAAGAACCCCAAGGTACCACCTTACACCTTTCATACTGGCTAACATGATAGGAAAGGAAAACAACGGATGCTGAAGGAGTTGTAGAAAAATAGATACACTAATGAACTGTTGGTGGAGTTGTGAGCTGGTCCAACCCTTCTGGAGAACAATTTGGAACTATGCCCCAAGGGGTATAAAACTGTGCATACACTTTGACCCAGCAACACCACTACTATATCTGTATCCCAAAGAGATCAAAGAAAAAGGGAAAGAAGCTATATGTATAAAAATATTTATAGCAGCTGATAATTGTAAATAATATAGCAGCAGATAATTGGAGACTGAGGCAATACCCATCAATTGGGGAATGGCTGAACAGGTTGTGGATATGATTGTGATGGAATCCTATTGTGTTATAAAAAATGACAAAGGCCGCCGCTGGTTTTAGAAAAACCTGGGACAACTTGTATTAACTGATGCAAAGGGAAGACTAGGAGAACATTGTATATAGCAAACAGAAATATTGTAGTGTTGATGAACTGTAGAAAGTCTTAGCTACTCTGCTCAATAGAATGATCCAAGACAGTTCCCAAGAAGTCATGATGAAAAATACTATCCACCTCCAGAGAGTGAACTGAAGAACTCTGAGTACAGATTGAGGCATACTTTTTTCACTTCCTTCATTTTTCTTTTCCCCCTTTTCTTTTGCAGTGTGACTAATATGGAAATATGTTTTGTATAATTTCACATTGCTTCCCTTCTCAGTGGGTAGGGGAGGGAAAAATTTGGAACTCTAAGTTTCTTTAAATGAATGTTACAAATAAATAATATTTAAATTAAATAAATAAAAAATATTTAAAAAGAAAAATGCATAAATGTTTTTGCTGGAAATGCAGCCATGTGCCAATTTCTGGCTGTTTAAATATCCTATGTGTATTCCCTGGTGCAAGGGAGTGAATCTTGTGTTGGTAGCTGGGACTGTCCCACTGAATAAAACTATGCAATATTTCCTGGTAACAAAATTTCATGGAGATTTAGAGCCCAAAGGAAATTATGTCCAGTAAACAATCTGTAGAAGATGTAGTCGGAGGGATTAATGACTTTTATAAATTACAAATTATAGTCTACTTTGTCTTCTCTTTCCTCTCCCTTTGAATATAGGAGGGCAATAGATATACTGCCTTGAGGCTGAAGAGAAGAGGCCCGTGTCTTTGTACTCTCTCCTACCCTGGTCATAGTATTTTCTTTTCCTTTCTTTCTTTCTTTCTTTCTTTCTTTCTTTCTTTCTTTCTTTCTTTCTTTCTTTCTTTCTTTCTTTCTGTCTTGCTGTCTTTCTTTGTTTCTTTTTTTCTTTCTTTCTTTTCTTTTCTTTCTTTCATTGGAGTTAAGTGACTTGCCCAGAGTCACAGAGCTAGTGAGTGTTATGTGTCTGAGGCCGGATTTGAACTCAAGTCCTCCTGACTCCAGGGCCAGTGCTGTATCCACTGTGCCACCTAGCTGCCCCTATAGTATTTTCTTTTTGCCATAGATTTTTTTTTTAGCCATAGGTTTTTAAATTTGCTGCTTGCTAAGCTAATGTGCATTTCCAGATGCTGTTTTTGCTTTCCAGATGATAGAAAAACAAGAACCTTCACTATTCAAAACCTGGTATAATATGTAATTCCAGAAAGATGAGTTTTCCCAGATAACATATTATTATTATTGTTATTATTATTATTGTTATTATTTTTATTTTGGAGACAGATCTTTTAAAAAAGGAAGTAGTATATGCTTCCTTTTAAAAGAATATGTTGGATTGAGATTCTTTAAGAGTCTAGTCAAGGGTTTAGATTCTTAAGATCTGGTCCACTTGCATTAGTGATAGAAATGCTTAGATTCCTTCTGAGTCTGGCCAATATGGCAGATTCTTTAATAAACCTTGTCTTTGGCTGAAAGAAGGCTTGGGTCGAATTCATTTGGGCAGGACCCGAGTGTTGTGATTTTGGGGTCCCAGCACCCCTAAACCTCAACAACACTACCATCTGACAGGATGGAAGATGAAGGCAACAGCAAAGAAGAGGTGCTTGTTTCTGACATACTGGATAATAGCCACCAACCCATGGAGGTTGCCTTCCTAGAAGGCTCTGATGGCAGAACCCAAGATTTAGCAGGTCCCATCAAGCAGGAAAGGCTTTGAGCCTGAGAATGGACTATGTGTGTTATCTGAGGCTCATTCTAAATTTGGAGAGACTTGTCATCACATTGGTCACGGGATCATGAGTTTTTTGACCACAGCAACTCTCAAAAATAGAGAGCCAAGTTGTAAAGGGATTGTAATGCATCTCAGTGGAGGGAGTGCCCACCCCAGTAACATCACAACCTTTGAAATACCAAGGTATGGCTATGAAAAATCAGAGGGAGAACAACACAAAAAGCACAGTAATGTAATTGGGCTAGAAACTTCATTTTCTTTTCTCTGTGGTTCTTATTTCCTTTAGGAAAACAAATAAAAGGCAAGAACAGATTTAAAAAAAAAACATACCAATGTATTCACCCATCTTTTCTTCATTGTCAGTGTTCTTGCTTATAGCAACCACACTTTCTGCTGTTTCTCAACTGAATTAGGCTTATTTTGTTTTGTTTTCTATATGAGGCAATTGAGGTTAAGTGACTTGCCCAGGGTCACACAGCTAGTAAGTATCAAGTGTCTGATCTGAGACTGGATTTGAACTCAGGTCCTTCTGACTACAAGGCCAGTACTCTATCCACTGTGCCATCTACCTGCCCCTCAACTGCATTAAGCTTGGAAGCCAAATTAGGAAATTTATTAGAACTAGGTTTTATAATAAAAATAGATATGTTCTGTCTGAGTGAGGATCCCAAAGCACCTTCTGAATAAAGTGCATGGACTTTATGACCCATCTCTTCTGACTACTGAGAGCCTCTTTTTCTTTTTTAAAATTTAGCAGCCGGACACCAGAATGGGAGATGTTTTAAGAGTTGACCATTCATATGATCCTCATTATTTATTAATTACATTGGTACATTGGAATGATAGCCCAACTCCAGGCTTAGGTCACAGAAAATTTAAATAGGGCAAAAAGGCTTTTCTTGTGGCAAATTCAAGAACTTGCCTATCAGAAACTAGAAAACCATCCCTAAAGGAGCTACAGAGTGTTAAGATTGAAGAAAAGAACTGTGAGAGGTCAAAATAATTTATTTAAACTGAAAAAGAAGAAGCCAAAATAGACTGAGTAGCACTCAGAGCAGAAAGCTTAGCGGTTCCTCTTGGCCCCACAGGACTGAACAGAAGGCAGGAAGGCAGCGGAGATTTGTGTTGTAATGAGAACAGATGTAAAGGCCTTGACTGTTAAGAATGATTTACATGCTGGAGGAGGCAGCCAAAGTGGGATGTGAATTTTTGTCCCTGGAGAACAGGAGAGGCAACCGTCTATATTTAGAGGGTTTGGGTTTAGGGAAATACAGCAGCTGTACTAGTTAAACTCTAAGAACTTTTTTAGACCTCTAATTCATACATGATGCATGTTTTCTTACACGTGGAGTATATAATAAGGTCTTTTTTGTAGAACTGCAGTTGTATGATTCTGTGACTTCAGTGTTATAAGATAAACTTGCCCCTTTGAAATCTTTATTTCTCCAGCTTGTGAAGTCTTGGCAGCAGAAATATTTCGTACAGAATTGATTTGATTAGATATTAGTTTGATCGGACTCCAAAAAGAGTTTTTCAAATTATTTCATGTTTGTTTATGAAACTGTTCATGAAGTGGGAGATAGGGGCCACGTTGACTTGTAACAGCAGTAATGTTGACAAGTGCTGATCCTCTGCTTGTTGATTTATTCTTGTTAATTTTCTCTCCCCTTTTTAGAATCCTATTCTAAGTCCTCGGATGTACCGGCTTCCACCATGACTTTAAGTTCTGACCAGAAGATGCCTGCTGGTAATTTGAAGTTTTGTGTTATTTGTTGATGATGTTTTATAGTTTTTTGCTTTTGGTTAGGCAGTAGGGTTAAGTGACTTGCCTAAGGTCACACAACTAGTAAGTGTTATGTATCTGAGGCCAGATTTGAACTCAGGTCCTCCTGAATCCAGGGCCGGTACTCTATCCACTGTGCCACCTAGCTGCCCCTTGATGATGTTTTAAACAGCTTTGTAAATCATCTCTTCTATCCCCTTCCAGAATTTTTTCTTCTGGTTATAACATTGATGTCCACAAGTTTGCTCCACTTTTAGGCAGTAAGTTAAAATGGGTTGTCATCATGTCAAGGTATATTGTATTTCCGATCTGAAATGGCAGAGGGGGGAAGAATGAGGTTATAGGCCGACTCTGGAGCTATATAACGGCCTGGTTAGGCTAGTCAGCAATTGTTGCTGTTTGTGGTTGGTTATGGTTACCTTTGTTTTCTCTTCTAGACCCGGCCCCCAAAGCTCCAGAATGTAATTGAAACCCTTGTTTGCTCCCTCTGGATAGAGTAATTGCATTCCTTATTGTTCTGATTGTGAACAGTGAGAGCCTTTGGGGGATTTAAGAGATGTTTATGGATATGTCAGGAGAGTGCCTCCTGCTTTGTACCCTCCTCTCTGTTGTGTACTTTGGCTGAGCAGTCCTGAGCTCTAAAACTTTAAACTCTGAATTTGTAGTAGAATAGAATTCTGCTCACTTCCAGCACTTCTTAGAGTGGAAAAAGTTTAAGAAGCCCAGAATTCTAGATCATCCTAGATCTACTGTTTTGTGGTCATTCTCTTAGCTTTTTAGTCACTCAGAGATGATGATAATAATAGCTAATGCTTATATTAGCATTCTCAAGATTTGCAGAGTGCTTTTTATTATCTCACCTGTGTGGTAGGTACTATTACCCCTGAGGAAACTGAGGTTGAGAGCTTAAATAACTTGCCCATAGCGAGTAAATAACTAGTAAATTCCTGAGGAAACATTCAAACTCAGGTCTTCCTGACTCATAGCCCAGTGCACTCAGTACTTTGTCCATTCTGCCACTCAGGTCTTCCTGTAAAATGAGGGCTTCTCCTCTACTGCCTTCACCCATGCCCCCCCAAAAGACAAAACAATCCCCCAAAACTCAAGGTTATGGAGTCACAGACTTGATCTGTTCACTCTAAGCAAACGTGGGCCCCCTGGTGGCTTTGGGAGCCTGGTCTTCATGAATGGAGTGAGCTGGCCTCCTCCTCCCCCAACTCTTTTTCTAGCCTTTGCTCCCTCCCTCTAAGATAATTTCGGGAATGGGGAAGGAGTATATAGATAGTAGTCTGCTTTCAGTTAGCCTGTCCTGAGGCCTTGATCAGCACGTGACTGGCTAATAGTGACTGAGTCAGGAAGAAGGAGAGGCAGAACACTTGGGAAAATTCTGTACTCATTGACTTGTTGCATTTTGCCCTGTGCATCAGGTCAGAGTTCTGTAGAATTTTTTTTTTTTTTTTTAAATTTCTGAGAAGCACGTGGAACCTGATCCGTAATGGTCAAGGACTGTCTCAACCGTGAGTCCTGTCATTTTCCTGGCTTGATTTATTTCTTTACATGCTGGGGATGAGGCGGCCCTGATGGAGAGTGAGTTTGAGAGGAAAACTGCATTATAGAAAATAAAATTTTTTTTCTCTTTGGGTACTAGAGGGGGACATAGGAAAGTTCTTACTGAGAAGTGCTATTTACATTGGTCTGGATGAGTTATAGGGCCTGTCTACTGCTTTCTCTTTGTGTCTTGGCTTTCTTTCCTCATAGAAATTTTGTGCTGATAACAATAATATGATGGAGTACTAAGGTTTTTGTGGGGGTGGGGTTGGGGGTTGTTGTGAATTTTTCCCCAAACTGATTCTTTCCATTTTTACGTGTGACTTTAGAAGATGGTTCTGGAGACCATGGGGACACTGCCAGCCTGGGCGCTGTTAACACCATCTACAGTAGTAATTCCCCTTCAGAAGCCTCTGCATCTCAGGAAGAGCCTTTTACCACCTACTTTGATGAGAAGGTCTCCATTCCCGAGGAGGAGGTTAGTAGCAAGGACACACACAGAGGGAAGATCCAGACAGCTTAGGTGTCCTGCAGAATCCTTCAGGAGCCAGTCAGCTCTCAGGACCCAGCCTTGGGTCCCCAGTAGGGTCAGCTCATTGGCTCCTGCCCAGTGAAATCCAAAGGTTCTGAACTTTGGCAAACAGTCTCCAAAAACTGGACTTTGGCTTTTAGGATTCTGCTGTGGACAACCTGGCTTAGAGAGAAGGGAGCTAGCATGTTTTTCTTTATGTCCCAAACAAAAGCTGTTTGTTTTCTTCCTCGTGATGGCTTTAGGGCTATTTGGATTTTACTTGGGTATTGTTAGTATAGTTAGAGGGTAAGGGTGATCAGAGTGATGAGGGTATTCTTCTGGCTATGTCGTACCTACATACCTGAAAAGGAGGTGCTGCTGCAGGGTGCAGAGGAGGAGGAGGAGGAGGAGAGAAGGACCCACCTAAAACCCTTCACTTTTGTTACAGTTAACAGTTATTAGACCCCTTTTGTAATACTGGTTTTGCAGTTTTCAATTTGGAGCAAAGCTCAATTTGTCCTCCTCATATCTTGTTTCTTGTGTAGTATTCTTGTTTTAGCTTCCGAAAACTCTGGGCCTTTACAGGGCCTGGCTTCCTCATGAGCATTGCTTATCTGGATCCAGGGAACATTGAATCCGATTTGCAGTCAGGGGCCGTGGCCCAGTTTAAGGTGAGTCTCTGGCCTTTCCCCCTTCTCTGTGTAACACACATTCTTTCTGTCCTTGGCATGTCAGGTTTGAGGGTTATTGGCAGTCTTTATCCAGATGCTAGAGAAGCAGTGTGAGGTACAGTTACTGGAGAACTAGCCTCCATGTCAGGAAGCCCTGGGTTCAGGTCCTGTCCCTGACACGTGCTGGCTGTGAACCTCTCAGTGGTCATCTCTCTAAGACTAGAAATTTCAGAGAAGATGCTGTCTACATTGGTGGGGGTAATTTCCTCATTTATGAGTTCCCTGTACCAGTGAAATCTCAGGTTTCAGAATCCAGAATTTTAGGGGAGCCTGAAAAAATCTCTTACTTTCAAATGCAAAACACTGTTCCCATTAGGTCTTTCATTTTACCTTTGTTCCTCTAAAAAAAGGAAGGGTTTATGTTAGAGTTGGAAAAATTGAGACACACAGATGACAGGGATTTGCTCAGCTGTCCCAGCAGGTCAGGTGTAGACCTAGACTAGATAGAGCCTAGGCTCTATCTGGGCTCCAGATTGTCTCCTCTGGGGTCCAAGTCTGAATGTATCGCTCCTGCCCAAAGATTTCCAAGGAAGCTTGTGCCTGAAAAGAAGGTCTTTTGCAGTTGGCTTATGATCGTGTCCTCCATCCTGGGGGAATTCATTTTTCCTAGTTGCTCTGGGTTCTCCTCCTGGCCACCATCGTGGGGCTCCTGTTGCAGCGCCTGGCAGCCAGGCTGGGCGTGGTCACGGGCCTGCATCTCGCTGAAGTGTGTCACCGGCAGTATCCCAAGGTCAGTGACTCCCTCTAGTGCCCCAGAGAGCTGCGATGCTGAGACTGATTGCCAAGCCACAATAGTTCCTCCCCTCCTTTAGAACCTTGAGGCTCATTTCAACATCCCCCCTACTGACTGCATTCTGGACCAGTCATTCCTGCCAAGGCCCCTTTCGTCCTATTGTCTGTACTTTCATGTGAAAAGCTACAACAGTTTCCTTTGTAAGTCTCTCTACTGTGGTTTGTTATATTTTTCCCTTAAATGGACCTGTGATCTCATTGATCCAGGAGTTCTTTTTTTTATTTTATTTTTAATTTATGGAATAAAAAAAGCATTTCCATAATCTACTACAATAAAAAAAGATGATCGCACATGAAACTGCAAATCTACTATGTACAACTTGCTATTCCTTTCAAATATGCAACAAAATTATCCTCTCCCCCCCCGCACTAGAGATGGCTACCATTAGACACAAATAGGTATATATATGTAAAATTATTTTATGCATACTTCCATTTATCAGTTTTTTTCTCTGGATACAGATAGTGTCTTTCTTCAAACGTCCTTTTATGGTTAATTTGGGTATTTATAATAGTCAAAATAACTTGTTCACTCAAAGTTGCTCTTAAAAAGAGTTCTTTTAATAATGAATAATAATAGCTAATATTTACATAGCACTTTAGAGTTTACAAAACACCTTATAAAGGTTAACTCATCTGTCATCTTAATCCCTTCTCTCCTTGTGATGTGGAGAGTGCAAATACTGTTATCTTCACTTTATTGACAAGGAAACAGGCCGAGGGTCAGACCACGGTTACCCCACAGCTAGGACTTCAGACCCAGGTCTTGTGCCTGCCTGCCATGACCTAGCCACCTACCGTCACATTGGGAGGCTTAGAGAGCAGTGGCTGGGTGTTTTTGTCCTCTTCTCCGAAACCCCAGTACAGAGATGACCCTCAGTATTTGCCTCACATCTGTAATGCTGAGTGGTGTACTTCACTCTTCTCTACAGACCCCCCCCTGCCCTTTCTGGGGCCCCACCTGGCTGGCCCCTCAAACAAGACCTCACACTTTCCCTCCTTCTTTCCTTCTTCCTTCAAATGCCTCTTTTCTTCTTGTATTTCTGGGATATGGAAGAAGAAACCTCTTTTTTGAGCTTTGAGGTTCACCCTCTGGTTTGCATTCCCAGGTCATTAGTGTCTTCTCTTTCTGTTTAGCCACCACTGTTCATTTTGCCTTGTTCCAACCAGACTGGATTCCTCTTTATCTGCGCTTTCTTTCCCCTTTGCCTTTGTGTGCACTCCTCCGTGTGCCTAGAATATTCTCCCTCTTTGCCTGTTTAATTTCTATCTACCCTTTAAGGCTGAATTCAGATGCTGCCTCCTCCAAGAAGCCTTTCTGGATAGACTTTGCATCCTTCATCTCAGTAAAAATCATAGTTCATGGACCTCACAAAGTCCTTGATTTTGTACCTCTCTAATATTATGTATTACAGTCATCTGTATTTGTATCTTACCTGTCTTCTAGACTGTAATGTCCATGAGTGTAGAGATCTTGTTTTACCTCAACATTGTGCTAGCCACTAGTATGTAATAGGCACTTCAGTATTTGTTGTGAATGAATCATTGGCTTTTTCAAGCAGCTGTCCCTTTCTGTCTTTGTTGTGTCCCCAGTGAGCCAGCCTGCCATAACAGTCAGATCTTGGCTCTTGCTGCTTGGTATTACCTACCTTAATCTGAGGCTGCACCACACCTGGGTCACTAATATCACTGTCCATTTCTTTGTTTGCCTGTGGGCCTCTGTTATGTTGACTGTCCTTCAGTCTTTTCCACATTTAGGTGTGTTTTGGTTTCCAAATTAGATTCACCTAGAGGAGGCCCCTTTTCTTCAGTATTTCTTTCCTTTACTGCCCTTCTACCCCTCTTGACTATATGTGCATGTAGTAGGTGCTTAATACATTTTCATCAGTTACATGTTAATCCCTCAGACTTTTAGGATAGTTTCAGTTGGGCAGGAGAGGCGCCTGCCTGTCCTAAGGGGTGCCATTGAATGGAATGAGAATACAAGTGACTTCCCCATTACACCCCATCTCCTTGTGCACTGATGCCACAAGGAAGGAAGCGCATCTGTCTCTCTGTAGCTGAGTCTGGTTAAGAGAGGTCTGAGGGTGGGACAGGTGGAACAAAAATATGGCACTTGGCTATGTGTAGCTGGGTAATTTGTCTCATTGCTCGTGGGCCTATGCTGTGATACAGGGTATACCTAAAGTCTTAGTATAGCTTTTTTTGTTTGTTTGTTTGTTTTTGGTTTTGTTTTGTTTTTTTTTCAGGCAGTTGGGGTTAAGTGACTTGCCCAGGGTCACATAGCTAGTAAGTGTCAAGTATCTGGTCTGAGGCCGGATTTGAACTCAGGTCCTCCTGACTTCAGGGCCGGTGCTTTATCCACTGCGCCACCTAGCTGCCCCCCTTAGTATAGCTTTTAAGCTTAATAGGTTCAAAATGCACTAAGATTTTAGGGACAAACTATCTATGTGTGCAGAAATCTCAGGACCTTCAAGGAAGTGTTCTCTGAAATGTCAGCTTAATTTTGAACTTGATTTCTCCAATGTTTGTGTTAAGGTCCCCCGAATTATTCTGTGGCTGATGGTGGAGACCGCCATCATAGGCTCCGATATGCAAGAAGTCATAGGGTCAGCTATTGCCATCAATCTCCTGTCTTCTGGGAAGTGAGTTTTTTTCCCCTGAAACTTTGAGTCACCCCCAATATTCCCAGCCTTTCACTGAGCCTCCATGGGTGAAGAAAGCATGTGATACAAATTGAGTCTCGTGAGGAAGTGTGACTGAGAACCTCTTATCAGTGAAATAGTTGTGAGAAGAACCAGGGTCGCCATTGAGTGTATGGAGTTGGGCTTTTGATCCTCACCCTGCAGTGGCATTGGCTTTTCTTCTCAATGGGCACTGTGTTCCTCACACTGGCAGAGGCCTGGGCCACCTGCCACCTCCAGAATTTGGCCTTTCTGGGGTTTGGGGAGGTGGGCTCTTCCACCCTCCTCTTCTCTCCCCTCCCCTCATGTTCATTTCTGATCTCTGGCCTAGGGTTCCTCTGTGGGGTGGAGTTCTCATTACCATAGCGGATACCTTCATGTTTCTTTTTCTGGACAAATATGGTAAGGAGGAGTTACGGGCTGGGGGGAGGGGATGCAGAGAGGAAACGGTGTTGGAAAAAAGGTCAAGTTTTGCCTTAGAAGCAGTATGTCTCATTAAGGAAACCTTCTTTCCATGTTTCTTTCCTTAGGTTTGCGGAAACTGGAAGCCTTCTTTGGCTTTCTCATCACCATCATGGCCCTCACATTTGGATATGAAGTAAGTTTCAATTGCTTATTAGCTTCTAAAAGCCAGTTACTTTATAGAAACAGGAAGTAAAATACCACACATAGATAACAAAAGCCATTTTGTACCTACATCAGTCCTGAAATGACAAGGTCAGTCTCAGAGATCTCCACACCCAAGCCAGACTATCTCTGGCATGTGTGTGGCTTTCCAGATCAGTCAGGAACCTGAACTGGAGCAGACTTCCTGCGGATGTTCCAGATCCCTCAGAACCAGCCTGCTTTGGGTCTGTCTTGCAGAACTGGGACTGCTTTGACATAGCACTGCCCCTTGGGGAAGGGAAGTCAACTGCCAGGGTCTGACTTAGCAGCCTAGCAGAATTCAGACCTTTAGCATTCTGGGTGATGTGTGTCACTTACAGAATGGACTCCAAATTTATATTGTAGGGGTAGAGGGTAGGGAGGCTTCATCGTTTTTGTGCTACAACACTTAGACTCATGGAGCTTTAGAGGGCCTTGTTGGAATGGGGTGGCCAGGGCAAGGATGGATATGTGGGAAAGAACAAAATGGCCCCTTCCTTCTGAATCCTTGTTACAAATTGATTTCAGCTGGTTGACCTGGGTGAACTTGACTTTTTAGCTGTAGTTAGTTCTCAAATACATGTGTACTAGGCCTCAAAATTCCAACCCAGAGTAAATGTTGAAGGAAATGTGTGAGTCAGATTTAAGTGATTTTTTAAGATTATTCATTCTTTTTGCCTCCATTCATAATCCCTGTGAGGCTGACAAGATTAAGGTCCTGAGCCCCTTCTCTCTGCCTGCCACCCCTGTGATCCTTCAGGATTGTACCCATTGCCAGGGACTGAAGGCCTGCTAGGCCTGCTGCCCTGAGAAGCAGAACATCATTCACGTCAGGGTAGTCAGGAACAGTGAGAATTGTAAATTCCCTTATAGCTCAGGGCTGGGGCACCTGTTTCATTATGGAGCCTGACCATGACCAGAGGGAGTAGATGCTAACCACTTTGATGTTGGTGTCCAGTATATTACAGTGAAACCCAACCAGGCCGAGGTGCTGAAGGGCATGTTCGTACCCTCTTGTTCAGGCTGTAGCACCCCGCAGGTTGAGCAGGCCGTGGGCATTGTGGGTGCTGTTATCATGCCACATAACATGTATCTGCACTCCGCACTAGTCAAGGTAAGTGAGTCCTGATCCTGAGTATCCTAAATTTATGAGTTCTTTCCCTCTAGTAACAAGTGAAGCAAATTTAAATTAAATTACCCATTTTCTCTTAAAGGATCAACTTTGGAGGTTTTGAAAGAGCAGGGTATCCTTCATATGCTGGAGGTTTGTTTTACACGATTGAACCCTGTTCCATAGCACCAACCAATAGGATTAGAGGTTTCCAGACCCTCAAAGAAACTGAGATTCAAGGACTTTGTAAAAAGGCCAAATGCATGCTGAGCTGGTTTTCTCTTCATCTCCTGAGTCTGAGTGGCCCTAGGGAAGAAGACTGTCCTTTGTCCCTCATAAGAATCATGTCACAAACTGGGCTTTCCCGATCCTCTTTTGCCTCAGTACCCTCTAGCAAAGTCAGGTAAAGGTGCTGGGTACCCTTGTTAACAGGCTAGGAAAATATTTTCTCCTCTTGGGGGTGAGGACAGGTTTGGTGGAATGGTGGGTTGGAGGGATGTGGGAGATTATAAATGAGAAGCCAGGAGTCAAGTTCTGGTAGAAAAGAAGTGAGCTGGGCTGCCCATTGGCAGTTCTGAATAGTGAAACAGAGAAGGCTACTTTTCTACAGTGACAACTACTTTTCTAGTTCCTTAAGGCCTTATGTATCCGTAGTGGCTGGAAAGCAGAGAACTGTATCATTATAAAAATTCCCCTTTGAACTCATCACATAAAGAATGAGAAGAAATGTCACCTTCTTGATCCACAATAATTCGACTAAAGTTTTTTTTTCCTCAGAAGGGTATTTATTTCAGTTCTTCAGTCTTGAGGTGTAGTAGATAAAGTATGGGGAGTGAAGACAGAATGACCTGAGTTCAAATCCAGCCTCTGACTCTTACTAATTATATGACCCTGAGCAAGTCAACTTAACCTCTGTTGGTCTCACTTTCCTCAACTGTAAAATGGGGATGGTAATAGTACTTGCCTCTCAGGGTTGTTGTGAGGATCGAATGAGATACTAATTGTAAAATGTTGAGCACAATGACTAGCACATAGCAGGAGCTATATGAATGCGGTTATCCTCTTTGTGTTAGAGAAAATCCTTTAAATTAACAGAACAGTGGGTGATTTGTCTGTCTTTTCTCCTTTCTTCTTTCCTTCTTTTCTCCTCCTGTCAGAGGAGAGTCATTCTGCCCTTATTGGTTGGTTTAACTCAGAAATGTCAATCTCAAATAGGAATACTGAATATTAACTTAGAAAACCTCAAATTAACACTGTCTGTGTTTATTATATTTTCATTTTGTTGGACATTTTCCAGTTGACATTTTAGTATGGTTTTTGTGGCTTCCTGGGGCTTGCCTGAGAGTTTGACAGCTCTGGTTTAGAGGTATAACCAAGAATAAATCTGATGAGGGCATTTAAAAGCCTTCACAGACTGACTCCTTTCTGGACTTATTACACATTCTCACTTTCACACACCCAGTGGAGGTTAGACATCTTGCTCACTTGTGCGAGAACACAGTGTCCTGTCTCCCATTTCTGGGCATGGAATGCTTTCCCTCCTCCCTCCATCTTGTAGAATCCTCCTGCTGCCTTCAGAGCTTAGCTCTAGGGGCACTTTCTGCATGAGGCCTCCCCTGATCTTCCACCTCTCCCTAGTTTCTAGTACGGGAAGTTCTTAACCTTTTTTGTGTCACTGACTCCTTTGATAATTTGGTGGAGCCTGTGGACCCCTTCTCGGAAGAATGATTTTAACTGCAGACTGTAAAATACATAAGCTTACAAAGGAAACCAGTTATGTAGACACTGAGGCAGAGAGGGATAGACCTGATATCAGAAAGACCTGAGTTCAAATTTGGCCTCAGTTTGGCCATTATTGGCTGTGTGACCCTGGACAAGTCACTTGATCTCTCTGTTTCCTCATCTGTAAAATGAGGGCAAATAATAGTACCTTCTTCACTGGGTTATTGTGGGGGTAAAATGAGCACTTTGCAAACCTTATTATAAAGCCATATATAAATGATAGCTGTAAATATTATTATGTTGAAATACAGTTATCAAAGTATTTTTTCCAAAGCTTATGGACCCCAGGTTAAGAAGCCCTCTTTGGTGCCTTCTCCACTGATAATTTTTTTTTTACTTTTTTTTTCTTACTTTATTTACTTTACTATTTTATCTGTACTTATTTGGGCACATGTTTTTTCTTTCTGATAACATGGAAGCTCCTTCAGGACAGAAACTATTTTGTTCATTTTTGTCTCTGTGTTGCTAGTGCCTAGCACAAAGTAGGTGCTTCATAGTTGCTTGTTAACTGTTGGATTGTGTTGCTGTTCATAGCCTCAGGTCATTCACCTGCTATATCACTGGGCCCCTCCCTTAGCACCTTCCACTGACCAAGTTCACAGCTGCCTCTATCTGTCCTCTCTAGTCCAGGCAGGTGAACAGGGCCAGCAAGCGGGAGGTCCGAGAAGCCAACAAGTACTTCTTCATTGAGTCCTGCATCGCTCTCTTTGTCTCCTTCATCATCAACGTCTTTGTCGTCTCAGTCTTTGCAGAGGCCTTTTATAATGAAACTAACAAGCAAGTGGTAAGTGACTGTGGGCCGAAGAGAGTGGGGTAGTGGGCCAAGAGCTGAGGAAGACCTCGGAATCAAGGTTGAGGGTCAGTCCTGGGGAAGGGCTTGGTGAACAAGGGGGCTGGCCTGCCCCCTTGAGAGCAGCAGGAAAAGCCAGGGCAGGACAGGAGCTGTAGGAGCCAAAGGGAAAGGGCAAAGATGCCTTGATGGTGTGGAACAGCTGCCAGGCCTCTGGCCCCGTTTCTGTTGATGGTGCCCCCATCTTCTCAAGCTCAGAATTTCAGAGTCATCTTTGACTTTTCCCTCTCCTTTCTTCCCTCTCCTCTAGGCAGTTGCTGAGGCAATTTGATCTCCACGTTATGTTTGGCATCTCTCCACTTACACCACCACCATCCTATCTCAGATCTTTCCCTCTTGCTTGGATTATTTTCCTTAACCTCCAGGGTCTCCTTTTTCATACCCATTGTTCACACAAATAGCAAAATAATCTTCCAAATGAACAATTCTGAGCATGTTAACACCTCCCTTTCTCCTCGTCCCACCCCCAAACCTGTAGTGATTCCCTTTTGGAAATCGTATTAAAATAGGAATCTCCAAGCCTCTCATTGAAAGCCCTCCAGAGCTGTGCTTCACTCTGTCTTTCCAGTCTTCTCACACCCTCCCCCTTGCCTGCAGTATACTCCACATCTCTGCCTTTTGAAATCCTTTTCTTCTTTAAAGATCCAGCTGAGGTGCTGTTGTCCTGATCCACCCAGTTAAAAAGGAGCACTTTGTCTGACTCTCCTTTGCCCTTACTACATTTTACCCGATATCTATTGTATAGGTGTTTTATTCCACCTGTAGATGTGAACTTCTTAAGTAAGGACCGTGTTGTTTCCATTAGTGTGTCCTCACTTCTAGCACGGCGCATGCATCACACATAGCTGCACATTTATTAAAATCTGTCTAAAGGGAATATGTGGGCAGGAGATAGGCAAATCCTAATGTTGGGAATACTTTTAAGTTGGTGGCAGCATTGAAGGTCATGAGTGGCCAGCCCAAGAGTCTCAGTGCTTTACCCTTAAATTTCCAGTAGTAACCAAAGATCTTGGCTCATGGCTGTGGTTTTGGTTTAATCAGCGTGCCTAGGATTTGGTACTGTAGTTATGGGACAAGACCTTTGGGCTAGAGAAGTATCCTGGCCCTCAGAGAAGTTGGGAGCTCAAAGCACATTTTTGAGACTTGTAATACAAAGCTGATGGCCATCTTTTGATACTTGCAAGGTCTGCTGTCCTGCCAAGAGGAAAATGAAGTGAAACATTTATTTCAGTAGAAATAGGATCTGAAGTACTGACAGGCACAGAGGAGAAGGGCTGGTATGGGGGTCCTTAACAAAAACAATTTTGGAGGCCAGGGGCTTTTTCTTTGTTGAAGGTGGACCTGGGCCAGTTTATTGGACATTCACGTTCAGTAAATATTTTTGATGATAGTAATAACTTGGAGAAGCAAGGCTATCATTGGAAGGGAGATGCAGTGACCTGGCTGCTGATCCAGGCTACTTCCCAATCTTTGTCCAGACAGATCCTTTAATTACCTGTATTATCTGTAATAATCTTGGTGCAGCCTGCAGTAGGGGTCTACCCTTTCAGCCCTGTTTCTCTCTTTTCATCTCTGAAAAGAAAATGTACTCTTTTTGTCTTTTGGATTCCAGCATGACATCTGCGTCAATAATAGCAGTCCTCACAGCGACCTCTTCCCTCTAAACGATACCATGTTGACTGTGGACCTCTACAAGGGGGTGAGTATCTTGGCATAAGGTCACAAGTCCATGGGAGCAGGTCTTTCTTTCTTTTTTCTTTTTTTTAGTGAGGCAATTGGGGTTAAGTGACTTGCCCAAGGTCACGCAGCTAGTGTCAAGTGTTTGGTCTGAGGCTGGATTTGAACTCAGGTCCTCCTGACTTCAGGGCCGGTGCTCTATCTACTGCGCCACCTAGCTGCTCCAGAAGCAGGTCTTTCTGCATGAGCCTCTTTAAGAGCCTACCACTTTGGCCAAAATCCGCTTTTGTGTTTCCAAAGTACAGGTGTCACACAGGCTCCTGATTCTTTGTGGGGATTAAAAGAGCAACTGATCAGATGGGGATAGATAATTTTAATAAGTAGATTAAAAATAGGGCAAAAAAGAGAAAATAAAAGCCTAGAGTTTGACGGGAAGGGTTAGGGAAGTGGGAGGAAGCACAAGTGAAACCTAGTTTTCAAATCAAAAGCTTGGGGACAGACACTTGGCACTTACTAGTTGTGTGACCCTGGACAAGTCACTTAACCCCAATTACCTCACCAAAAAAAAAGCCGAAAAATAATTAAAAAAAAAACTTCGGGAAAGGAAGACTTCTTTGTTTAAATTTCTTTGAAAGTCTCCAGCGTCATGCTCTATGTGGATGGGATACATAGTGATGACCACACAGATAAGAGGAAACCAGGAAAAATGGTTCTTTAGTTGTTGTGGAAGTGGGACATGAACTCAAGCGTGTAACTGACTTTCTTTCCTGCCTTCTCTTCCTCCAGGGAGTGGTACTAGGATGTTACTTTGGGCCTGCAGCACTCTACATCTGGGCCGTGGGCATATTGGCTGCAGGACAGAGCTCTACCATGACGGGGACCTATTCTGGCCAGTTTGTCATGGAGGTATGTGCTGTTCCTGCTGAATCAGGAGGGAGGAAGGAGGTGAGGAAGGTCAGACAGGTTCACAACTTTGATTTATTCTCATCTCCTTCCCCCAATTCCCCTCTGTTCCTGGTTCAGCCGTGATAGGAGATATTTAGCTTGACCTGTTGTTCTTCTCCCCAGGGATTCCTGAACCTTAGGTGGTCACGGTTTGCCCGAGTGATCTTGACACGTTCTATTGCTATCATCCCAACACTGCTGGTCGCAGTCTTCCAGGACGTGGAGCATCTTACAGGGATGAATGACTTCCTGAATGTGCTGCAGAGTTTACAGGTGAAGAGGCAGCCACGGGTGGCTTTGGCTTGTGCTCAGCCTCCCTGAAGGCAGCACCGTGGGCCAGGCACTTAGGGGAGAGCCACTCCACATTTTGGGCCGTCCCTGAGTATAGCTGGGACCCTGTCTGGGATATTGGGGAGTGATTGAGGTGGAGGAGACCAGATCCCTCTCTTGGCAGGCAGTTCTGCAGCAGTGGAAAGAATGAAGCCCCTAAATTGGCTCTCTGCCAATTACTGCCTGTTTGCGGTAGGCTTCCAGCCTTCTGACTGTTATTTACCTCTCTGGGCTTCAGTTTCATCATCTATTAAATGAAGATGGTAATGACATGCTGCCCGCATAGGGTTCTTTTAAAAATGTCTTGAGAACTTTTGTTTTTTATATCCTCTCCATCTCCTCCCCCAAAAGCCATCCCTTGTAACAAAGAACAAAAACAGAAATCAGTTTAGCAGATAATCAAAGCAGTCTGTTCCACGTTTAACATGTGGACCATGTTCCACACTCATACATCTCTGTGGGCTTGTTTGAGGAAAATATTTTTTTTATTTTTATAATTTTTTTATTTGTATATGTGGATCCGTTTCCATTTATTTGGTTATTTATTTAGTTATTTTTAGTTTTCAGCATTTACTTCTAAAAGATTTTGAGTTCCAAATTTTCTCCCCATCTCACCCCTCCCTCACCTTAAAGACAGCGTGCATTCTGAATACCCCTTCCCCTAAACTGCCCTCTGTTCTATCTCCCCAGCCCTTCCCTCATCCCCTTCCCCTTCTAGAAGAAAATATTTTTTAAATAAGAAGGTACAGTATTAATTAAGTGTGCACTATTATCATAGTCTAGAGGACAATTAGTGTTTGAGCTAATAGAGATGTGTGCTTAATGGGGACTGGCATAGTGAATATGCATAAGGATAGTGGGGCTTAAAATAGCTGCTGCCCTTGCCTCATCTTTTGTGGCAGAGATGCTCTCCTAAGGGTAAGATGCATACCTTGTGTCAGCCTCAGTCTCTGTTTTGCTCCATTGTTTTTCTGTGTCTTCTGCTCCAGGGGCTCCTTCTTACCTCTGGGATCAGTACAGGGTCTCCTCTTTGGCTGTTAGGGCCTCACACTCCAACTCTGACCTGCTTCTCTAGGCTTGTTGCCCGTCTCTGTCCCTTACACACTCTCCATCCCAGCTATACTGGTCCCCAGCCTTCTTCTCCCGACTCCCCTGAGCTTCCCAGAACCCCTTATAAGTGCTGCTGCATACAGGAGACTTAGCCTGCTCCTTCCACTTGCTCAGGCCTTCTGGGAAAATTATTTTGTATTAAGTTCTCATTGTGCAAGTTATTGCCCAAACCTACACTCCTTGAGAACAGACTGTTTTGTTTTCAGTTCTAGTGTAATGTTTGGCACATAGTAGGTGATTGACAAATTTGCTTCTTGAATTAAAGGGAATATTCATTCTGCAAAGGGCAGGGACTGTAATGTAAAGACAAGGTGTGTGTTAGTAAAATATATTTCTTCAAAAGATCAGTGCTAAGCTAATGGTGGTTATGCAGAGCTATACATACACATGCACACACACACACACACACACACATACATACATACAGAGCAGTGCTGGCAGTGCTGGGGAGTGGAGGAAGGATGTTTGTCAGAACAATAGGAGTAATTAGTGTTAAGTGGTGGTAATTAGGTAAGGCTTGGAGGAGTGGAAAGGGAACCAGGGGATAGGGATGATTTGAGTATGTTATTCATCTGCTTTTGGCTTACCAGTCACTTCCTCTCTGTCACTTCTTCTCTGGAATAATTCAGACACTTAGGACCCCTCTCTCATGAGATTTTCTCTTTTTCAGCTTCCCTTTGCCCTCATCCCCGTCCTCACATTTACCAGTTTGCGTCCAGTGATGAGTGACTTTGCCAATGGACTGTGAGTATGCCATAGATATTTCCCTCTGGCTCCCCCTCATCAGAGTGCCAGTGTCCTTGGGGAGGTAGTCTTAACCCAGTAACCCTAATAGAAGGAATCATTCTGGGGATCAAAGACTTTTTTTTTTTTCAGGGTGGGCAGGGAAGGGGAGGGCCCACCATTTAAAATGTAGAGAATATTTTTCATCCTGGGCACTGATTGTAGTGGCCCTGACCTCAGTGGTGATTTGGGAGAAATTTAATTCAAGGACCTGTTATGTGCAGGGCAGAACACTATGCTGGGTGCTGGGGGGAAGATAAAAATAATTCAGACCTTGTTCTCAAGGAGTTTACAGTTTAATGCAGGAATGTAGGTGGGGAGAAGAGATATGTTCACAGATGACGGTGGTATAAGGGGAAAATGTGCTATTCAAACAAAATGGCCAGGCATAGGACTATTTGAGGAGGAAAATTGCTTGCATTTGGGAAGTTCAGGGGAAGCTTCATGCAGGAGTGGGGACTTCATTTGCATTTTGAAGGAAAGGAGTGACTTCAACATTCAGGATTTGGGCTGGGGTAGTCCATTCCCAGCATGGGGGATGACTTGGATCAAGGTATGGAAGCTCGAGGAGATAGGACAAGAAGGGGTTCCAGAGGGTAAAGTCTGACTTGACTGGAATAGAAAGTTATGTGAAAGAATAGTAGTGGAACCGAGATGGGGCAGCTAGGGCAGAACCCTGTTGAGTAAGTGCGTGACCAGTAGCGTAAGCACTTTTTCACTTGGTTCAGTTGGTGGAAGGAGCCACAGAAGTCTTTTTTATAGTAGAAGAATTAAGTGATTAGTGGTATATTGGGAGCATCAGAGAGGATCCATGTAAAGGATAGATCTAGAGGGGGTGAATTAAAGGTAAGAGGATCAGGAGAGAGTCTGGTCAGACCGCTTAGTTGAGAAGAGATGAGGGCTAGAACTGGGATGGCTGCAGTGGCAGTGGAAAGGTGGGATTGAGAGAGCTTGGTCACTGATTGTATGATGGGGGTGTGAAGAGTCAGCATTCTGAGGCCACCACCCTGGGTGACTGGGAGGGGTGAGTTCGAGGGAATAGGATGAGGTTCTTTCTGGACATGTTGAGTTTGAGGAGCTTGTGAAATATCCAGGTGTTGTCATCAGGTGAAAACATGGGGCTGGATCATAAAAGCTGGGGACAGAGACATAAAATTGGGAGTCACCTTCCCAGAGGTGAACTTGAAGCTTTTAGGAGTGGATGAGACTGGAGTAAGAAGAGGACAGAACTGGGGAATGCTCTACAGAACCAACAGAAGAGTCAGAGAGGTCGGAAGGAAACCATGAGAATTCCCTGCCGTGGAAGCCAGGAGTTGGAAGTATCAGGAAGGTGCTGATGATCAGGAGTGTGCAGCGCAGAGAAAGGAAGATGGGGACAGGAAGGAGGTCGTTATTAGATTTAGGATGAGGAAGTCATTAGTGATCATGGAAAAGAAAATCGACTTGGGGGAATGGGGTCCTGACTAAAGAACCTTTGCAGTCTCTGCCCAGGAACCCTTAAACTCGCTCGTGCTCTGTGCCTTTCCCCACCAGAAATCTTCCGTAGTCTAAAGGGCTTCCCGCTCACCTCGGTGCAAGGGAGTCGAGGATCTTCCTGGCTTTGCATTCAGAGGCTGTAGCACTGGGAGGACAGCTCCTTTTCCTTTAGTCCTGTCGGCAAGACATCTCATTTGCTTCTCTGTGGAAAGCCTGTGTGAGGGTATAATGCAGAGCTTTGCTGCATTTTTCAGAATAAAATAACACGGTCACAGAATTTGAGCTTCAGAAGGGACCTCAGGCCAATCTAGTCTAACACATCTGTAAAATGACCCCCCTCCCCCATTACACCCTTGGCAAGAGATTGCCTGGCTTCTGCCTGAAGACCTCCAAGGAAAAGACATTTCCCCTCCCATTGCATTTTTGGACAGCTCGCTTTCTTAGGAAGTTTTCCTTGACATCAAGCCTACGCTGGCCTCATTGCATCTTCCACACGTTGTTCCTGGTTCTGTTTCAAACACTTGAAAACAGCTCACATGGCCCATTTCTTTTCTGCACGCTACACATGCCCATTTCCTTCAATATTGCTCTTGCCTTCCCTAAACTTGAACTCTGTGACTGCTCTCCAAGCAGCAGGCTGCACCCTCATTTATAAGAGCAGACTCACAGAGTATTGGAGCTGGCAAGGTCCCTAGACAGCATCAGATTCAATGCCCTTGTTTTTATGGAGGAAACTGAGAGGGGAAGTGAACTATCCAGTGAGTTAGTGGCAGAGAGAGCCGGGCCTGGTAACTAGATATCTGACTCCCAGGTCCAGTGCTCTTTCTGCCGTAGCTGCCTATCAGTTGAGCCCCAGGGTTTGGTTACTATGGCTTCTTTCTGGTTTCTATATGTCATTGCTTTCCTAACCTGAGGAGCCTCAGCACCTCGCTTGGCCAGTGGGAAAGGTCTTTCTTTGCTCCCTGAAAAGAGCACACAGCTTATCTTTTAGGTTTCTTAAGAATTTTGCTGCACTCCAGGGAAACATACAAAAGCATACAATGTCAAAGGGAAAAACAAAGTTGATAACAGTTTTTCAGGACTCCTAGTTTTCCATGTGTACTTACCAGGAATTAGACCATGCTCTTTCATCAGTTGACAGTTCCATCTGACCTGAGATATTAGATTTGTTCTTGAATTGTCTACAATGGAATTAGTTGGGCAAAAGTTTAATGGCTCAGTCCTTCTGTTCCTCATGCCTGTATCTTCACAGGTAATCTCTTCCTTCCTGCCTCTAGTTTGACCCGTGCTTGTCTATGGGTATAAAGGAGCTCTCAGGCCAGAGGTGGAATGAGCACCTTGAGGTCACTTGGAGTAGGTATGCCCAAGAGAGGCCTGGGGTTTCAGAGGACCCTGGGAAAGAAGTGAGCCTGGGATCTCAGGTGAAAGGCACTAGGTGAGCACCTTGGGCTTGTTCTACAGAGTAGTGGTCAGTTACTGGATAATTTGAAGGAACAGAGTGATAATCTCAAAAGATGGGTTTAGTCTGGTGAAGAACCCAGACTGAGATGTGATCTCAAATAGCCAAAGGAGTGTCAGGTGGAAGGGATGTATCTCTGGGCTCCAGAGAGGAGAATTGAGCTGTGAGAGCCTCAGCACTCTTACTGTAGTTAGCTCTCTCTTCTTGGTCATGGTGGAAAGTGATAGCATGAAGTAGTCAAACTTAGGCATCTGGACAAGCATCTGTTAAGTGTCTACTATGGGTCAGGCACTGTGCTCAGTGGGTGCCATGGGTACAAAAACAAAAGCAAAACAGTTTCTGTCCTCAGGAAGCTTCAATTCTACTGTGCGTGTAGAGGAATATAGGAAAAGGATACAAGATAATAGGAAGGGAGCTGGGAAGATCAAGGCCTCATGCAGATTGTGGAGTGGAGCTGAGTCTGGAGAGGGGACCAAGGGATTCTCAGAGGCAGAAGGAAGGAGCGAGTACATCCCAGGCTGGATAGAGGTGGGGCATGAAGTGTGCTGTGTGCTGTTCTGGCTGGGTCCTAGATTTCATGGGGTCGTAATATGTAATAAAACTGGAAAGGTGAGCTGGGGCTGGGTCTGGAACAGCTTTGACTGTCCAGAGTTTATATTTGATCCTGCAGGTACTAGGGAACCACGGGAGTTTGCTAAGTACAGAGGAGTACCATGGTCACACTCGAACTTGGGCAGCTGTGTGGGGGGACCTCGGGGTCAGAAGTCCAGGACAAAGTCATTTTTCTCTAGTTTTGTCATGTGAGATCTTCATGTCAGAGGCACCTCTTTAATTCAGGCTAGGGACACATTGAGTTAACGTTTACTTTTTTTTTTTTAATTTTAATTTTTTTTGTCTTTATTTTTATTTTGGAGGCAATGAGGGTTAAGTGACTTGCCCAGGGTCACACAGCTAGTAAGTGTCTGAGGCCGGATTTGAACTCAGGTCCTCCTGACTCCAGGGCACGTGCTCTATCCACCGTGCCACCTAGCTGCCCCAAGAGACAACCATTTCTTCAGTGACATTAACCAATTCTTTTTTGCAGGGGCTGGAGGATCGCAGGTGGGATCCTCGTTCTTCTTATCTGTAGCATCAACATGTACTTTGTGGTTGTCTATGTTCAAGACCTGGGGAACGTGGCACTGTATGTGGTGGCTGCTATAGTCTCTGTGGCCTATCTTTGTTTTGTGTTTTACCTGGTGAGTGATTTCCAAGGAGTCCTTGGGGAAGGAGCTGTAGGTCCCAGGGTCATGGAGGCTCCCATTGTATGTTGGTGGATGGATCCAAAGTTTAGAAAGAGAGAGAACGACACAAGGTTGCATATGTTGCTCTGTCTCCCAGTCCCTTCGCAAGATTTGCAGGAAACTGTCTGAAGATCAGCTCTCTGTAAAAAATATTTTTCCCTAAAATTCTACCTTGGTTCCTGAGACCTACCCTTTCTAGCATATCCCTTGTAGTTTCCTTTCTGGCTCCCATCAAAGATTAGCAGCCACCAAGGTGCAGGAGCCCCAGAGAGTTTTATGGAAACCCATCCTGTGGGTCAAAAAGAGAAGTCACAAACAGGGCCTTCTGGCGACTTTCCTTCAGAATGGGACCTTCTGGTCCATTATCTCCCCTGGTTTACCTGGAGTCTTGGCAGTGAGAGCACAGCCTCCCTGCCTGTTCCCTTTGTCCCATCATGAATCCTCCAAGGCAAGGGTACTTTATCTGGATAGAGTTCAGGAGGCCCATGACCTTGGAACAGCTTTATTTTCACTAACTTGTAATTTAAAGTCAGCGTTTTCTTCAGTTATGAATGTAAGCAATATACATTATTCTGAGAAGGGTTCCATAGGCTTCAGTGGACAAGGGGCTTCATGACCCAAAAAGGGTAAAGGACCCTGCCCAAACATTCCATCCTGCTGGGTTCCCTCCAGGGCCACCCCTTCCAAAGAGCTGCCCTTCTGTTGTCACAGCTGCTGCACTGCATAAAATGCTCCCCTGGCCTCGTGGCTGGGCCTGGCTTCTAATTGCAGCCAGAAATAAGTTTAGTCCCTGGACTGCCCCATTCACCAAATCCATAGGCTTCAGACTAGGCCGGGAAGCAGTTCAGTGCCATCTCTTCATCCTAAACTAGATGGTTGCCTGTTGGGGGTTGTGAGGAGCTCGTTCTTGGGGTTGGCGGTTATATCCCGACGAGTGTCTGGGCCATCTGTCCCTTTTGCCGGAATTCCCTTTCCTGAACACTTCCCTTCTCTCTTGGCTTCACCCCACCCAAAGGAACCAGCAGTTCTGGGGCAAGCTGAGGCCAGATGAGTTGGGGAGCGAGAATGTCCTCCTTGAATACGGGAGTCCTTGGGGAGATAAGGTGGTACATGTGTAACTGTATATGAAATAGATACCAAACAGATGAGGGAAGTGGAGACGCTGTCTGTATAGGAACAATGCAGATCCCAAACAGCTCCCTCGTAAAGCCTGGGTCAGTGTGTTTGACTGGTGTTCATCTTTATCTCTAGCTAATGGAAGCAGCTGTAGGGGTCAGCTTTTCATCCCCCCCCCACTCCCGTTATGGGCACCCTGGTATGGGCAGGCTCTTAGTCCGATGGGGGAGACCAGACACACACCAAGGTAGAGACATAACTAGTCATTGCCCAGAGTTCCAGACTAGTAGTAGACTAGAGAAAAATAGGAGTTGTGCCCAGGCAGACTTTGTAGGGCTGGGTGGCAGTTAAGGGGGAGGGAAGGAGAGAGAGGCTTGGGCTAGCAGGGGGTGGTATGCACGGGTTTGACTTGGAGCGGAGCCAGAAACCAGGGGAAACAAGCAGTGTGGGCAGGGCAGGAGTGAGTGACGGTTGTGTCTTCTCTTTCAGGGTTGGCAATGTCTGATTGCTTTGGGCTTGTCCTTCATGGACTGCGGACAGACGGTAAGCATCAATAAAGCCCTGCTGACGGAAGAAGCTGCTGGCCGCGGCTACACTAGCTAAGCACTGGGTTAGCCTGTCTATTCTTCGCAGGTAGCCATCAGAGCCAGTGTGTTTCTATGGTTTACTGTGTGAACTTAGCCACATGTATGTGCCATTGCACAAAGCTCCAGTGTTCCCTTGGTTTTTACCTAAGGTCCACTGTGTATTTTGGGGGTGATTGTCCTGCAAAGGTGTTTAAAGTATGGAATTTTTTTTTCTTTTTGCTTACCTTGTGACCTTCTCCTTTTGAACTGTGGGTGTCATCCGGGTGGGGGGGTTAGATGTGGGCTTTGAAATGCTGACTTTTGCTGCTATTATAGAACAACTAAATTACTGTCCCAACATTAAGCTACAGAGGTAGAGCCAGATTCCCTTGACTTTCCTGTTGGGGTCTATATTTAGGTGCCCCTTTACTGTGAAACCTTTTCATTTTCTGATTTTTACTTATAAAAAAAAATAGAAACCATGGCCAAAGCTGCTTAGAGCGATTCCAAACTTACTAGATGTGAAGATTGGAAAAATGTGTCTCCTTGGGCTCTCATCTGACTATTCACACTTGTACACATAGGAAACAGAACAAGGTTAATAAGTAGGATCAGACTTCTCATCCTATCATCACCTTAACTCTCTTTATAGATGATAGGTAGGAATGAGGAAACATTGCACATTTCTTTGTATTTATAAGTTTTAGATGGCTTCCCATTTTGGGAGGATTCTGATTTAACACCTTTCATGTGAAACTAGAGTTATTACAAGACAGTTCATTCACACTTATTCTTTGGCACCCGAAAGGGGGGTAGGGGGTAGGGTCTGACTTTGACAATATTCACAGCTTTTGACAGTGCGGTGATGATGGATGTTAGCTATGGTCTCATCAACCTGGTTGACCGAGAAAGGCTCTTTTAAAAAATATGTAAGATTTTTTCACTTGACGCTTACTAGCTGTGTGACCCTGGGCAAGTCATTTAACCCCAATTGCTTCACCATTTTATATATATATATATAATTCTTTCAATGAATAAAAATCAATTTTCCCTCACACACCCCCCCAGTGTTCCCCCACTACCAAAAAAAACCCCAAAAAACTCCTTGTAATGAATATGTAGCCTAAATAAATTCCTATATTAGCTATTCCAAAAAATAAATATTTCCTGCTGCTCTCTGAGTTACAAGGAGATTCTTGAAAGAGGACGTCATTCTGCCATCAGCCTTGGACCTTTGCAGTGGGTAGGTCTATGACATTGCAAGCCTGGCCTGGCCATCTCCTCCCTTCACCAAATGTGTTGCTGTAAGGCACAAAGAGGGAAGAAGGAGTACTAATGTCCCCTACAGTACATGGCAGTACATGCTCTGCAGTCAGGCACTTTTGCTAATTTTCCTCCCTTAAGAGATCTGTCTCTGACATCCTTTTTCATGGTTAGAAAAGATTTGGCCACAGAGTAGAGGCTGGTTCCTCTGGCTGACAATTTGCGGGACTTGCGTTCTTGGAATTTTCTCTCCAGAGCCCCACTTGGTTTATGATCTGCCGTTGTTTGAGTCCAGACAGCATCATTCTGATACTCTGCACTCAGTCCCAGGTACAGATAAGATGGGCTGTCGCTCATGTGATACCTGCACAGTTAGAACACTAAGGAGAGCCCAGTACAGCTCACTGGTGCTGTGGCTTTGCACTCATGTAGCATATCACCCCTCACCCTCCATCCTCCCAAAATGGCTGCACCCTTTGCAGATCTGGGAGTACACACAGCAAGGCTGTGGTTGGTGGTTGTTGGGAGGGAGGTGTTTTCTTGGGATGGTACATTGAGCCATCAACTCTCCTGCCTCAACTTCTTGAATCTGCAGTTCTAGTCACAGACATTCAGGAACCCAAATCAAAGCTGCTGGTAATGAAATAAACATTGAATGAAAAAAAATGAAAATAAAAAAAATACTCGTTTATAAAAACTCAGATTTTTGATGAGTAGAAAACTTCAACTTAATGAGAAAAGCTCTCATTCCTAAACTATAAACATTTAAGTGAAATCTTCCAAAACCACTGCGCAAGTCACATTTTAATTAATGTGTATTTAGAGAGTGGAACAGTTGCAATTTATGTATTTGAACCATTGTATAAGCATTTTGAAGACCAAGGCTGTTTGATTTTTGTCTCTGTACCCCCAGCACCTTGCACGGTGTCTGGCCCATCGTAGACACTTAATAAATGCTCTTATGTTTGATGATGATCCCCTCCAGTGTATCTGAACATCCTTGTCCTATGATGAGGGAGACTGTCTGAGAACAGTTCTGTGGGATTTCTTGTGGGTTCCTAGGAGGTCCCTGGTAGTTATTTTTCTTTGTGAAACTTTCAGTAATTTTATTGACCATGAAACACTATGTAATTTTGATTTGTAATTAAATTTTTTTTTCCAATTTGGTTTCTTGGGTGTTTTTTTCCCCACCATAATAATTTATTAAGAGGCCCTAGTGACTCCACATTGGTAGACATAATCTAACTTCAACTATTTATTATCTAAAATAAAGCTATCATCTTTATTTAGAACTGGTAGAGAAACCTGGCCCATCAAATCCAGAGAATGAGCTGTTTGCAGTCAGCACCCGACGCAGCCAGGTTGAACTTGCAGATCACTGGCTAGTTGGGTTTAAACACTCAGATGTGCAGTTCTACATAAAGCGAAGGCTTTCCTTGCCATTCACTGAGTCCTCTTTTCTGTATCAACATGAAGAACTGCATAGATTAGCAGATGTTTTAATCCTATAAAAGATGTCAATGAAAATAGCAAAGAATTTTTAAAAATGTATTTTAAGAGTTTGATTTCTTAAATGTGAGCTCTTAAAGAAATCTGACACAAACAGAATTTGCGATTTCCGCTTAGGAGTCAGTGTGAAGTAGTGGAGAAAACACTGATGTTGGAGTTCGGACACACTCAGATCCCAGCCCTGATTATTTACTAGCTGTGTGTGATCTGGGCATGTTTACTTCACCTGCACCTGGTTGGGGCCTCACTTCCTTTCTTGTAAGATTGGGATAATCCTTACCCTATCCATATCACAGGGTGGTTGTGGGGAAAGTGCTTGATGAGACCAATGTTCTGGGAAAGAGCCCAGGATCTTAAATCACAGAATCCAGTCTTCTGCCTCATGTGCCTCCTACCTATGTGACCTTGGACGCCATGGGCCTCAATAAAGGGCATTGCCCTGCTCAAAGGTCCCTTGCCTGCTAATTCTAATTCTGTGATTACAGTATCAGTAAAACACAAAAATAGTTGCCCTAACAGGACTTTTAAAACTCCTTTGGGTCAGGTCAGCAGAAGCTCCATTTTTACCTTTGTGTCTGTGGCCCACCGATATATCCTGCTTTTCTTACAAAAGCTGGGTGTTAAAAGTGACCGCACAGGAGAAACCCTCAGGAAAACGCTTTCCTTTCTCACCACTTGATTGACTTGTGGTTTGAGTGAGTCTCCTAAGCAAACATTCTATAAAAAATCTCAACAAGAATTTTAGGCTAGAAACATTTTCCGAGGTGGTTCCTAATAAAATACCCTCCACCACTTGCTCCTCGGCTGCTCAAAAGGGTTAGAGGACAAGGTTGGTGAGTGTTCATGTCTGTCTTCACCTGTGAGTGCAGCAACATCTCAACTGTTCAAAGACGTGAATGGGGCTTAGAGTGTTTTTTAAAAGCAGGTATAACAATAACTCCAATTTTAAAAGTGCTTTATAAGGCATTTCCTTATATTTGGAGGTAGGCAGTGTGTATGATATTCCCATTTTATAGATGGGGAAGTTGAGGCTCAGAAGTGCATAGTTCTGCTGAACTGGGGGATTTGATCCTGGGTCTCAATCCAAATCAGAACTTGTTCCATTATACCACCCCATGTCCTAGTTATCATACATTGGACCAGTTGCTTTATGTTGTGGCTAATGGGAACCACGTGGTGGTAGGCACAGCTGGAGGCAGTGTTGGGAAGACCTTAGTTCAAATATTGCCTCTAACACAACCCTGAGCACTTATTCTCTGACCTCTGGATTCCTCACTAACAAAGTAGGGAAATGATATATGAAAGAATGATAAAGAATGAGTCTCACCCATTCTCCCAGGCACTACCTGATTTTAGGGGTGCTTACTTTCCAATAATGAAGGAGTCCGTGGGCCAAATGCCCCCCTTGACAATATCAAGGATAGAGGATTGAATCAGTATAGTTAAATGAGCTCGTTGGTACCTGACAAAAGTGTCCTACCCCCAGCACTCGCTGAGCCATTCTACCATATTTAGCAGCATATTCCTGTGAAAAAGACCGTTCAATTCCCATGAATTCCTCTAGCATATTACTATGAAAAAGATTATTCATTCCATATACAACATGAATTCACACCGAACTCACAACCTGTTTCATCCACAGTACCTTGACCTGATCAGGCTAGTATTGTGCTCACCAATATCCGAATATCCTACTACAGACCACCAATTTTTCTATAGCTCTTAGCATCTCTGGCAATATCTACAGAACCATCAACCATCAGCAAAGATAAGAAAAAGGAAAATAAAAGAGAAGGGGAAAGAATTTGGTAGGGGATAAAAAGAACATACCCGAGCCAATGGTTACCTTTATGTGCGACCACGAGCTCTCTCATGCTTGGCCTCCCTCTGGGTTACCTAAGTGATCCGTTGAGGCTCCACCTTAAAAAGAAAGATGGGTGAGACCAGCAGTAGACAGGCTTTAAGATTTAGCCTTTGCAGGATTTGGTTTCTTTGAATATAACTGCACAGTAACAGGACTAGAGCCACAGGGCATCATGAGAGTACTTCAGACATTCATTCTGCCAATAGCGTTTCTAGCCCGGCTATCTCACTTTTGTGAGGCAGTGGAATGCTGCTCTCTGGGAAGGCTGGACTTAAAGTCAGGAAGACCCAAGTCTCCATCTTGCTTCGGACGCTAGCTGTATGACCCTAGGCAAGTCACTTTCCTCATCTGTAAAATGAGAAGGGTTGGACTTGACCTCTGAAATCGCTTTCAACTCTAAATAAGTGTGTTCTCTCACCTTGCGCTCATTTCTGTTGTTACCTATTTGTTTACACATCGGGAAACTTTTCTGTCTCCAAAACTCATTTGTCTTCTGAGATATTAGGGACAGACTCAGTGAGGCAGTCCTAGCAAGGGAAGGACGAGGCTGATTCATGGATTACTGTCGTTTTAGTAAGTTTCACATTCAGGGTGACATCTGGCATTGGAAAATGTCTCTGACTCGTCTTTTGTCTCTTTGCCTTTAGTTTCACCTGGGACTGACTTCGTCTCCAGAGCTCTTCCTCCTGAACAACGTTGACACTGATTCCATCCTCTCTAGATGATGGCCTCAAGAGACTGTCGAAATAGTATTTTCAAAAAACCCTTATGCCAAGTGATGTAATAACTGTATTAGTTCAAGAGGTGAGTTTTGTTCAAAGAATTTGAACAAAAATCAGAGATTTCCTTATGGGAAGGCTATTAAAAGCTGACTGCTGTAAGTGGAGGGCACAGAACCACCCACCTTGTAAAGGTGTAAACAGTCATGGGACAGCCAGAGTCAAATGACTGGCTGATTTTGGCCACACGCCCCATGGGCTTGTGTGGTAATTTCTGGCATTTTTTTCTTGAAGTTGTAATTTATATAATTATATATAAGGATATAAATATTTGTTTGGGTAGGATTTTTAAAGTTTTATATAAATTGATTATTTTAGTTCTAAAAACCTTAATAGAGCTCAAAGAAGACAGATTACACTGAAATCTTTGGATCAAAGATGAGAAAGGAGAATTGATGGGGCTTTTTAAAGCTGAATTGGTCAAACCGAATCTCCTTTGAAATAATGCTTCATATAAGAAGTCAAAGTTGTACTTTCATTGACTGGTTAAAGACCAGTTCATATACGTGGTGTTTGAAAAAGTATTGCCTCATAACCAGCATTTCTTTTTTCCAAGGAATGTCTGCTACTTTTTGCCTATGAAATTTAGGCTTTAAACTGGGAGATCCGTAGTGTTTGCTGAGGTCTTTAATTCACTCCTTCCAAATGTCACATCCTAGGTTACCATCAGCTTATCGTCAGTCTCTCTTTTTTTTTTTTCAAGTTTCTGGTCAAAAGTCAAAAGCTTTAAACTTTAACTTGCAAAGGAAATTTCTGCTGTTCTTTGGACCTGCCTACCATTTCAGATATTTTCACATCTTCATGTAAACACTCCATACAGGCCCGAAGGTCTGCTTCCTGTGATTACTGGTATTTATTTTACCAAGTGTTAGACATGATCTTAAATGATCTTTTAGGAATGAGATTTCTGGGCATTGTGGCGTATTGGATATGACAATGGCCTGGAAATCAGAAGACTTGGTTTTAGGCACAACTCACTTATTTTTGTGACCTTTACCTTTCTGATTCAGTTTCTTCATCTGTAAAATGAAAGACTTGAATAAAATAATCTTCAAGGTTCCTTCCAGCTCACATTCTCTGATTCTGTGATTATCACTCCAGCCACCGTGAAACTCCAGGTCAATCTGCTACTTCTTGACGCAGGAGAAGACTATCTTATCTGGCGCCATTCACAAATTTAAGTCAACATGTTTTTAAAGCATTGTTTAAATTTATTAACAGTTTACTTTGTTACTTAACTAAGAGCCTGGGCTCTCCCTGTCAGTATCATAACTTGAACCTTATTTTAAGCTTGAACATTCCTTTACACATTAGGAATTCCAGAAATTCTTGAGTATTTATAGCATGCTGGTTGATTTTCAACAGTAGACGTGGGATGGGGGAATGAGGTTGAAATTTATTAAGTGTTTGAACCACTTAAGTCTTCTTTCATTCTGTAAAATATGTATTAAATGCCTGTTGTGTTTTCATGAACCCATTAAGCTTGGGGGTGAGCCATAAGATAGGCTCTCTGTCCTCAAGGAGTTTCCATTCTAGTAAATCATAATGTAAATCATAATGTAAAATTGACTCTGAATTGGTCTGTTTGAACTCAGAGTTCCTTTATGACAATTTAAGTACTTCTGTTAATTTTTTTAAAGCTTTGATCCAAGTTGTTCATTTTTGTAAATGCTCATGGTTCCTTTGTTAAGTTGGTCTCTAGGTCATTTCACTACTTAGCCAAAGAGTGGTCAGAGAGAAGTATGAGAAAGAGAATAGCAAAACAACCAGGCTTCCTATTGGTGGCTCTTACAATTGGTTTTCCAAAATAAGGCTTAGGGGGTTCTGCCAATTTCCCCTGTTTTCCATTGCAGTAGATAATTAAGAATAAGTGTGCTTTGGTGGTATACCTCTCACTTTATATAATGACTGAATTCCTTGTTATGGCATTTTTGTAAGCCACATCATTTCAAATGCTCTGGAGTTGTAGAATCAGAAGGGACCTTCTACCCTTGCTGAATTTCTACAATATCTGTGACTGGCATCCTACAATAAATTTACTACTTCCAATGGCATTTGGTTTCATTTTTGGACAGCCTTAATTGCCAAGGTCTTCTTTATTTTAAAATGAAAACTGCTTCCCTGCCCATGAGAGGTCAATCTTATTCTTCTTTCACTTGACAGCCCCTTAAATACAACCACGGATCATGAATCAGCATAGACACGATCAAAAGTGGACCAGCCCCTGCCCTCAGGGAGTTTATATTCTAATGGGTGACAAAACATGTACACATATTCTAACCCTACTTCCAACTCTACCCTTAACCCTAACTTCAACCCTAGTCCTATTCTGTATATGCAGAATATATGTAAAAGGACCACAAGCTAGTTTTGGGAGGGGGGTACCCTAATGACTGATGGGGCCAGGAAAGGCTTCATGAAGAAGGTGCTTCTTGAGCCAAATCACCAGGGATTCCAAGAGGTGGAGATGAGGAGGGAATGCATTTTAGTTGTGGGAGAAAGCTAGCACAAATGTATGGCTGTGGGAAATGGAGTATGTTATGTGTCTGTCAGTCAACAAGCAATTTACTGAATCCCTACTATGTGCCAGGTACGGTACTAAGCACTGAGGATACCAAAAAAGGTAAAAGGCAATCCCTGCCCTCGAGGAGCTCACAGTCTAATGGGGGAAACAACATGCAAGCAACAAACAAGATATTTATAGGATAAGTGGGAGGTAAAACAACAGAGAGGCAGTGTTAGAATTAAGGAGGGATTGAAAAAGCTTCCTTGCAGATGGTGAGATTTTTTTTTATAAGTGACATTTTTAAAAATTAATTTATTTTTAGTTTTCAACAATCACTTCCATACACTTTTGAGTTTTACATTTTTCTCCCACTCCCTTCCCCCCTCCCTCCCCAAGATGGCACGCAATCTGATATAGCCTATATATCTATATTCCTATTAAACATATTTTCACATTAGTGATGTTGTAAGGAAGAATTAGAACCAATAAGAGGACCCACAAGAAGAGGAAACAAAACACAATAGAAGAAAAAAAAAGAGCAAATAGTATGCTTCAATCTGAATTCAAACTCCATAGTTCTTTCTCTGGATGTGGATAGCATTTTCCATCATGAGACTTTTGGAGATGTCTTAGATCCTTGCACTGCTGAGAAGGGCTAAGTCTATCAAAGTCAGTCATCGCATAGCGTGGCTGTTACTGTGTACAACGTTCTCCTGGTTTCCTTACTTCACTCAGCATCAGTTGGATGGCGAGGTTTTAGCTGAGACTTGAAGGAAGTCAGGAGATGAAGATGAGGAGGGATAGAGTTCCAGGCACGTGGGACGGCCAGTGAAAATGCCCAGAGTTGGGCGATGGAGGGTCCAGTGTAGGGAACAGCAACACCTATCAAGTGCGGAATGGCAACAGCCACTGTGGCTGGGATGCAAGTGTGAGGAGGAGAGAAAAGTGGAAGAAGACTCGAAAGGTAAGAAGGTACCGGGCTGTGATGAGCTTGAAATATCAGAGGAGTTTATGTGGGATCCTCAAGGCAAAAGGGAGTCATTGGAATTGGATGAGGAGGGCAGGGATCAGACTGGTGATTTAATAATACTCATTTCCTAATTTATCATACCTGTAAATACGAGTTTCTGTATGTCAGGTTTTCTGTACAGTCTGCATCTCATGTTCCGACTGGGTCAGTAGCCAGGACATGCTCAGCAATGCATTGTGGGCAGTGGGCATCGTTGGAATCGTTTCTCAGGACTTGTTAAGGTCAATGACGAACACAGTAAAATGTGATTAAACAATCAGAAGGCGATTGTGTGTAAAAATCTCTCCTGTAATTCATAGCCAAAGCCTAATTCATATGTGGGAAATAATTTAGTAAAGAAAAAAGGCACTACAAGGATGCCAGGGTTACTTGGATATTTTTGGCTTTTAAAAACTGTGCACAAAGAAGGATCTGCCAAGCACCGAAACTGTGACCACGAAGTATTTTTCAATTTCACAAGTATTTGTTCTCCAGGTTCCTCTACACTGACCCTTCCTCTTGAGCTGGCCAAGGATTTGACACTGAAAAACAAGGATCCTGCCAACTGCCCAACTTTTTCCAAGCATGATTTTACAGCTGAATTTTAACACAGTTTGCTAGTTCTCCTGTACGTCCAATATCTTTTATTAATACAATGTGCCTTCATTCGTGTCTGACTCTTTGTGACCCTATTTGGGGTTTTCTTGGCAAAGATACTGGAGTGCTTTGCTGTTTCCTTTTCCAGCTCATTTTACATCTGAGGAAACTGTTGCAAATAGGGTTAAGTGACTTGCCCAGGGTCATACAGATAGTAAGGGTCTGAGGCCGGATTTGAACTCAGGAAGATGAGTCTTCCTAATCCTATCTGTATACTGAAACAACTTATTCTGCTTTAAATGACCCCAAAAAAAAATCCGGAAAGAAATTACAGTTGCTCCTCTTAAAACATGGGGGTCTTATTGGGGCCCATAAACTTGTTTTTAAAATATATTTTAAAAAAATATTTTGATAATTGCATTTCAATATAATTGGTTTCCTTTGTAATACAATATGTGTTATTTCGGACTTAGAATAAGATTAGGAGGAAATTCTGGCACCTTATTGGACTCACTGTGCCAAAAACATTTATAAAATCTTAGCAGTCCAGCCTTCCACCTCTCTGTCTATCTAGCTATCTAGCTGTCTAGCTATCTGTCTCTGTCTGTCTGTCTATCTTTAAGACATTGAACCCCTACTGAGGGAGAGTTGCTGGTGATTTGTCATCTTTCATTAATTGTGCCTTTTTTTCCTTGAGCATTCTCAATGGAACAATTTATTTCTAAATGCCACTTAGGCTACATGAGTCTCTGGTAAACATGAGCTGGGACTTGGTATGTTTACTCTGAGGGAAATCAAGTGGCTGGTTAAATCCCTAGCTGTTAGAGGTGGGTGTTGGTGTGTTTACTCTTAGGGACTTGAAGGGGTTGGTTACATTCCACAAATTCTGCCCAGAGGATGGAGGCTCTATTCTCTAGTGGTGTCATAGCTGTGTTTGTGCAGTTAACTCTTAATTATCTGGAATAATGGGGAAAGGAACATAGAATATAGATCAAAACAATAGATAAGACTTTGGAATGTAGAATACCCCTTATATTATATACCATACTATACTAATATTATATATAACCCTCATTTAGCCATTCCTTCCTTCCTTCCTTCCTTCCTTCTTCCTTCCCTCCTTGTCCAGGCCTTATAGCTAGCATTTATATAGCCCTTTAAGGTTTGCGGAGTCCTTTACACATGTTAACTCATTTGATCCTCATAACAACTTGTGATGTAGATGCTTTCCATTTCATAGATGTGAAAACTGAGGCACAGAGGGGTGATCCTTTTTTGGTCCTTTCAGACTAGACTATGTACCATATGATTCCTTTTACTTCCCTACCCTGGTCCTTATCCCTCCTATTTCTTCTGATCAATGCTGCCATCTGAAAGAAGAAGGATGAATTGGTGCAAAACCATTTATTAAGCGATTACTATGTGCAGAGCCCTCCACCAGGCACTGGGATACAAAAAAAGAGAGAAGGAAAAAGCCAGTCTCAAGGGCAGCTAGGTGGCACAATGGATAGAGCACTGGCCCTGGAATCAGGAGGACCTGAGTTCAAATGTGACCCCAGACACATAACACTTAATAGCTGTGTAACTCTGGGCAAGTCACTTAACCCCCACTGCCCAACAAAAAAAAAAAGAAAAGAAAAAGAAAAAGCCAGTCTCTGCTATCAAAGAGCTCACATTCTAATTGGAGGACAGCACAGGTTCCACCTTCCAGTCGGACAGAAAGGTTGTGTGAACCCTGGAGTGTAGGAGTGCAGGGACAGGACAGATGGTGATACAGCATCTTTCATGGTTTTGGGTTTTTTTTATTGATGTGTTTTGTCTTTAAGGATACTTCACTACTAGTTAATATTCTCTAGAATACCTACTGTGGCATAAATTATTTAAGTGTTCTAAAAGAAAACTCTGCTTTGGTTGTAAAACTGGGTCCTAAGCGAAGCTTGATCAATGTAAGTTCTATCAATGGAAGCTATAACAGGCCAGCCATTTTCAGTGATTAATTTGAAAGCTAATTTCCCAACTTTGATCCTATAATAGCTCATCCCTGTAGGTTTTCCGAATACGTGCATCATGCCGTTTCATCTTCCCAATAACTCTATGAGGTAGGGATTATTATCCCCATTTTGGGGGAGGAAGACAGGAAAGCTGAGGTGAAGTAACTTGCTCAGTGTTACACAACACACAAGTGTCTGAGGTGGGATTTGAACTCAAGTCTTCCTGATTGAAGTCTAATATTCTACCTACTACAACATACTACCCTACTATGCCAAGACTAAGTGAAGCCTTATTAAATGTTTTACTTCTGTACAAAATCAATTAATAAACACTTATTGAGTACCTATCGTGTGCCAAGCACTGTGCTAAATGCTAAGGATACATGAAGAGGCAAAAGACAGTCCCTGCCCTCAAGGAGCTTACAATCTAATGGGGGAAACAGCATGCAAACAAATATATACAAAGCAAGCTATATACAGGATATATAAGAAATAATTAACAAAAGGAAGGCACTAGAATTAAGGGAGGTTGAGGAAAGCTTCCTGTGGAAGGTGGGGTTTTAGTTGGGGTTTAAAGGAGACCAGGGAGGTCAGTAGTCAGAACAGAGGACGGAGAGTGTCCTAGGAATGGGGAACAACCAGAGAAAATGCCTAGAGTAAAGAGATAGAGTGTCTTGTTTGTGGGATAGCCAGGAGGCTAAATCCAGTGTGACTGGATTTAGTACATATTGAGGAGTACAGTGTAAGAAAGCCGGAAAGGTGGGGTGGGGTGGGGAGGGGCTTTGTTATGAAGGACTTTGAATGCCAAACAGAGCATTTTGTGTTTGCACATGGTGGCAATAGGAAGCCATTGGAAGAGTTGATTGAGTAGGGGTGAAGACGTGATCAGACCTTTGATTTAGGAAAATCACTTTATTTATTTATTTATTTATTTATTTATTTATTTATTTA